GAGGAGGCCGAGGCGCGCCGCCGCATGGAGGCCCTGCTCAGCCGCGTCCTCGAGCCCCACAGCCCCGCCGGTCGAGGTGCACACGGCCGTGTTCTGCCCCGACCGCCCCGAGGGCACACTGGACGTCCAGCGCGCCGCCAGCCAAGCGCACAGGATCTCCCTGGTGGATCGGGAGACACAGACGGATGGTGAGGGGTCGGCGCGGGGAGGGGGGCGCCCCTGGCGGAGAACGCTCAAACATGCATCCCTGGACCCCGACCCTGCCGCCCCGCGGGGTAGAGGACAAAGCCCCAAGTCACAGCAACTCTCCTGGTGCCTCCTGGAGTTTGGGGTACTGTAGGGGTGGAGAGGAACTAGAGTTCCTCCCGCTGTGCTCACTGGGGCAATCTCAGCGTCAGAAGTGTTCGAATTAATTCGGAGGACTACGACCCCCACTCACTCACCCCACCCACAACTTGGGGCACCGGTTCCCACGACTTGGGATCTCGCTTTTGTAAGGTATCTGGGATTTTGTAGGAACGGGGCCCCACTCCCTCCTCTCCACATCCCCCTCTCCCTTGCTGGCTCCTTTAGTCTTCTCCTCCAGGGAGGAATAACAACATTAAAAGCAGCCTCCTGTGAGCCAGGCACTGTTCTAAGGGCTTTTCACCTGGATCCTCCTAGCAACCCTCTCAGCTAGAACTTGACTAGACTAGCTGGCCGACTGCAGGACTCTTCTTCCCAGCCCTTGAGACCCTTCCTGTTACCAAATCCAGACCTGTGGCCCACGGGATGAATTTGAGAGTCTCAGGTCCCTAGGCAGTCCTGTACCTACCTGCCAGCTCCACCTGCCAGGGGCAGCAGGAGGGACTGAGGAAGTGCTCTGTGTCGAAATTCAAAGCTCAAGTGCCCAGGGTCTGCCACCCTCCAACTGGTGACCAAAGCAGGCATCCTCTCTGTGGACCAGTGTCCCTCCTGTGTGGCATGTGAAGGGGAAGGGCCAGTTGATGTCCAGGGTGCCATCCAGCTCAGAGATGTCAGCTTCAGGACAAATGGTCATACACTTATTCTGGGTGTCCAGGACACCGGAACCATCAGAGACCTTCTGGGAGGAAATGTTCACAGCCTCAAGACCTTATACTGACTGTGATTTCAAATTCCCTTCCCTACCTAGTCAACTGCATTTTCGAATGGCCGGCCTGATTAGGAAAACCCCTTGCCCTTGGAATAACTCAACTGTGATCCTCAGCCAGGGCCAAAGAAGTCCCAGTCCAGTTTTGAAAGCAACACCTTGGTGATGAAGGCTTGGAGGGGCCTGAGCCCCCACCACACACCCACCTGCGGCTCCCACAGCATCCTGCTGTCTCCATCCTCCTCTCTTTACCTTCATTCAGTTGGTGCAGCTTGCATTGAGCCCCCACTCTGGACTGTGGCCTTCTGTGGTTTTCACCATATGGGGAGAAGACAAAGAAATAATTCTAATGCCCTTCAGAATATGACCAGTCTCATACAAACAGGTGCCCTGGAGCTCAGCAAGGGAAGGATGGCTTCCAGTTGGGGAAAGCCTTTTTTTTTTTTTTTTTGAGATGGAATCTCACTCTTTTGCCCAAGCTGGAGTGTAGTAGTGCGATCTCAGCTCACTGCAACCTCCGCCTCCCTGGTTCAAGCGATTTTCCAGCCTCAGCCTCCTGAGTAGCTGGGACTACAGGCATGTGCCACCATGTCTGGCTAATTTTTTTGCATTTTTAGTAGAGACAGGGTTTCACTGTGTTGGCCAGGCTGGTCTCAAACTCCTGACCTCAAGTGATCCACCCACCTCGGCCTCTCAAAGTGCTGGGATTACCGCACCCAGCTAAGAAAGACTTTATGAAGAGAAGGATCCACTTGAGATGGGGCTTGGCCATCTTGACCAGGCTTCTGGACTAGGAACATGTGCTCAAGCAGAAGGCAGTGGAGCCAGGCACAGTGGCTCATGCCTGTAATCCCAGCACTTAGGGAGGCCAAGGCAGGCAGATCACTTGAGGCCAGGAGTTCAAGACTAGCCTGGCCAATGTAGCAAAACCCCATCTCTACTAAAACTATAAAAATTAACCAGATGTGGTGGCACGTGCCTGTAATCCCAGCTACTCAGGAGGCTGAGGCAGGAGAATCAGTTGAACCTGGGAGGTGGAGGTTGCAGTGAGCCAAAATTGGGCCACTGCACTCCTGGTAACAGAGTGAGACTCTGTCTTAAAAAAAAAAAAAGAAGAAGAAGAAAGAGGGCACAGGGAAGACATTCTAGCAAAGAACCATTGAGGGATCATTCTTCCTCATTCTTCTGGGACACCCTCTTTCCACAGGTGCCCTCTCTGTGCTTCTTGGGACCACTCACTAAAAAATCCTCACATATTTTCACTGCTGCCATAGAGAAATTCCCACTCCTCCCTAAGCCTGCCCTGTTTCCTCCATCTTTCTACTGGAAGACAGAGACCCATCCTCTGTGCCTTGTTTGGCTCCTTGTGGTAAAATGGAATATTTCTTTCATTACTACCAGGAAGTTCTACCTGTATGTGTCTGCTCCTATCTGATTCATTTACACCAATGTTGCACAACTGGGGGCAATTTTCTCTCTCTCTCTCTCACACACAGACACACACACACACACACACAGAGCATCTCTCTAGGGGACAGTTAGCAATATCTGGAGATGTTTTAGGTTGTCCTGGGGTAGCAGGGAGTGCCAGTGGGTAAAGACCAGGAATCTGGTAAACTTCCTGCAATACACAGGATGACCCCCCACAACAAAGAATTACCCAGACCAAAAATGTCCACAGGGCTGAAGTTGAAAAACCCTTGTTTAAACCAGGTTGAGGCCCTCAACCAAAGCCCATTGATACCTGAAAATCCAACTTTGCAGAGATGAATGCCTTAGGAGTTCCTGATCTGTCTGCTAGATTCCAGCAGGGTTCCTGCCCTGGGTTTCCAGTCTCGCTGATTCTAAATGGAGCCCCCTCAAGGGTTGCACTGCTCTTGGCTTCAGGTAATTACCACCTTCTTGTAGATTCACCTGCTTCCAGAGTCACCTTAGGCCAAGGTCAACCAAACACAACCCAACACTCTAGAGCTGAGCTTGCCTTCACTTCTGATCCCCTCGCCTCTGTTTTCTTCACTCTTCTCACTCAGGGTCCTTTTAATTCACTATTTGTAAAGCATGTATAATTATCTAACTTGCTATCGCTTTCTGGGTCATGAAAAGAAAGAACCCCAAACTGGACTTTAGTCCTTCTGATGTCCCCAGCCAGCTGTGCGACTCTGGGAAAGTAATTTCGCTTTGCTAAACCTCGGTGTTCTGAGAAAAGGTCATCGTTAAGGTCTTCTTAGGCTGTATAAGCCCGAAACTCTATCCTGTCATTTCACAGTTCACGTTGGGTCTGGCTTCGTGTGGCCCAGAGCTCTTTTTATCTACCTGGGTCTGCTCTAAGCCTTAACCATGAACTTGGGACTGCCAAGTTCATGTACTCAGCAGTCCCACACTCACCCACCATGATGCACTCGCAGTGGAAGTAGTCGCCTAAGGTGAACACATTTTGTGTTGCAGTCACAGAGTGAGCTTTAGATTGTCTTTTAAAAATAATTTTCCCAGCCACTTGCGGTGGCTCACGCCTGTAATGCCAGCACTTTGGGAGGCCGAGGTGGGGAGATCACAAGGTCAAGAGATCGAGACCATCCTTGCCAACATGGCGAAACCCCATCTCTACTAAAAATACAAAAATTAGCCAGGCATGGTGGCAGATGCCTAAAATCCCAACTACTTGTGAAACTGAGGCAGAAGAATCACTTGAACCCAGGAGGCAGAGATTGCAGTGAGCTGAGATCACACCACTGCACTCCAGCCTGGGTGACAGAGCAGACTCTGTCTGAAAACATAAAAAAACTTTTAAAATATTTTACCCTTTTCCATCCTAAAATAAAAGTCACATTTAATGAACACATTAATTAATTTAGAGAAAGATTCAGTCACCTGCTTAACCCAAGCAGTTGGGGTTTGGGAGAGAGTCCGTTGCCATTGTAATGAGTTTGAGAAAATTTTTAGTTTTCTGAACAGCTGTTATGCTATCAGGGAAAATTATTTGCCAAAGTAATAGGTTTTCTTATAAAAGTCAGATCATATTATTTAAGTATTCAAGTCGTATTATTTAAGTTCTTTCTTAAGAACTGTAGCTGTCATAAGCCAGGCGCAGTGAGTCATGTCTGTAATCCCAGCACTTTGAGAGGCTGAGGTGGGCAGATCACCTGAGGTCAGGAGTTCAAGACCAGCCTCACCAGTATGATGAAACCCATCTCTACTAAAAATACAAAAATTAGCTGGGTGCGGTCACATGCACCTGTAGTCCCAGCTACTCAGGAGGCTGAGAGAAGAGAATCGCTTGAACCTGGGAGGCAGAGGTTGCAGTGAGCCAAGATTGTGCCATTGCACTCCAGCCTGGGCGACAAGAGCAAAACTCCGTCTCAAAAAATAAAGGTCAACCCCCAAACTCCCCTCCCACAATGGGGGGGAGGGCAGGCTTTTGGGGAAGAGGGAAGCTACTCTGAAATGCCAGCAGGCTCTGGGCCATGGGAGTTAAAACTTTCAAAGAAGCTCCAAATATTCAGGAAAGTGACCTAAAACTCACAAAATGTGTGGTAACCATGGATTTTTGAGGTGTACAACTAGGGGGTATGTGAAAACCAGTGACAGAGCTGAGCATCACATCCAAGGTATCTTAAGAGCAAAACAGGTAGCTCATGTGGACCCAGGAACACACTGGCAGAGAAGTGCCTGAAGGCGGCGCTCTGGTTGCAGAATACTGGGGATATGGCTGTCACGGGTCTCGCAGCCAGGCATCACCAGGGCTGTGAGGACCAGGGCAGCTGCTGCCCCCTGCCTATCCTGACAGCCTGGGACAAGGGAGAATGCCAGGCTGGTGTCTGTGGAGAAGACTGTCCCTGCAGCCCTGCCATAGGAGCCACCCTAGCTTTTATGACCTCACAGGAGGTGTGGATCACTGCTCTCTGTGGGGCCTGGGTCCAGTTGGAGGCCAGAGCCAGGTTCCTAGGGCAGAGGGCAAACGGCCCCTCCAGGAGGGAGCCGGGAGAGTAGGCAGCTCCATGTAGGTCCACGTTTAGGTTAGGAGGATCCACCATGAAAAAGGTTAAGAAGAAAAAGTCAGAGGCCAGACGCCACCGAGAGTCTACTGGCCAGCATCCTAGCTCCAACTCCACCTCTCAGCAGTCTAGCCCTGCATCCACGCCACAGCAGTCTAGCCCTGCATCCACACCACAGCAGTCTAGCCCTGCATCCACACCACAGCAGTCTAGCCCTGCATCCACACCACAGCAGTCTAGCCTTGAAACCACCTCCGGGCAACCAGCATCCCAAGCCTTTCTGGCTCCCGAAGTTCGCCGCTCCTCTCGGTGCCTGTTATCTCCAGATGCTAATGTGAAGGCATCCCCTCAATCCAGGAAAGCAGGTGGGCAGTCTTCTAGCTTCGGCAGTTCTAGGCTTCCTGCTGATGGAGTTCCAGCAAATCCCAGATGTTGGTTCTTATAGGATAGAGATGCATGGTTACCATGTATTCTGGAGCTGTGATGTAGAGTGGGAAGGTTTTTGTTTTTGTTTCTACCCAAGTGACCAGGATTCCTGGGTTTTGTCATTTCCATCATCCTGAGTCTCATTGACACTGCCACATGTACATATTAACATTTAACTTGGTTCCATAGTAATACTGGCTCCTTAGGAATCAGCAGTGCCATGCAACTGCTAAAAACTAAAAACCAAGGATGCATTAATAGAAGTATATGGTTTAGAATAAGGGAAGTGATGATACTGCTTTATTCTATCCTCATCAAGGTATCTTTCTGGATTGTAAAAGATGCCTGACAAACTAGTCTAAGGAAAATAGTCCAGGTTGATGGAGGGTGAGAGGGGTCGGGAGGCCAGGTAGTATATGACAGTCGATCGAAGGAATTGAAGGATGTCTATCAGTTGGAAAATGTGAATAGACTTGTTCCTTATTGTCCTCAGAGGTCTGACTAAGGGTCTGAGATGGTTTGGCTGTGTCTCCACCCAAATCTCATCTTGAGTTCCCAGGTGCTGTGGGACCCAGTGGGAGGTGGTTGAATCATGGGGGCAGTTCTTCTGGTAATAGTGAATAAGTCTCATGAGATCTGATGGTTTTAAAAAAGGGAGTTTCCCTGCACAAGCTCTCTTCTCTTGTCTGCCACCATGTGAGATGTGCCTTTCACCTTCCACCATGATTGTGAGGCCTCCCCAGCCACGTGGAACTGTAAGTTCAATACACCTCTTTCTTTTGTAAATTGCCCATTCTCAGCAGTGTGAAAATGGATGAATACAGGCTCATGGATAGGATAGCCAGACAAAATATAAAGCTCTCAGTTAAATTTTAATTTTAGAAAACAACAAATAATTTTTAGTATGTGTGTTCCAAATATTGCATGGGCATCCATATTTTTATTTTCTAAACTAGCAACTTTACCCATGGAAGATACTAGAGACAGACAGACTTCAGCTCAACATAAAAGACTTCCCAACAATTAGCTCTGTCTGAAAATGTAACGGCTGTCAGGAAAAGTGGTTCCCCATCTTCTTGGGAGCCAAACAGTGTCTGAATAAGCATTAGATTATGTAGAGGGAATTCAAGTGGAGTCCAGGAGGTGGGCTGGTGTGTACTACGAGCAATAATGGTGATAGTGAACTAATATTATCACTAAGCGTTCACTGCGTACCCAGCATTCAGCTCAGCTGTCTTAATTTTCATGTGACAATCCTATAAAAGGTCTTCTATTATCATCTCCATTTTATAGATAGGGAAACTGAGGCTCATAGGAATTAAACGAGTTGCTCTGGAGCAGACGCTGGTAGCACTGAGAAGCGAAACACCCTCTATTCTGATTCCAGAACCCTCACTCTAAACCACAGCACTGACCTTTTTATTCCAAGAGGCCTAGGAGTCTCCACAAGAGGAAGAACATCTTTCTCTGAGCATCTCCTGGGTCTGCCGTGAGCCAGTGCCCGTGGCTCCATGGCCTTGAACAGGCCACACTCCCTGGGCCACAGTTTATCCCGCTGGGATTGTGTGGGCACAAAATAAATAAGAGATGGAAATGGAAGTGATACAAGGTATCACCATGCCAACGATCCTTCCATGGTCAGGAAGCAATCCCTTCTCGACATATGAAAATGGTTTTGAGTGGCATACTCTATGTTGTATAGATTGTGATTATCAACCACTGAGAGAAACATTTCTGGGTTCTGGTCTCCAGAGCTGGTATCTGTAGAAAGCAAAATTTTCCATTCCCAAGTCTTTTAATGAATGCATGTGACTGATACCTGGAGAGGAGTTTGGCCCATTGAAGAGGCAAAGCAAGAAAGCAAGAAAAAAGGCTCACCAGTGGTTACAGCGAACACCCTAAACTTCTTCCAAAGGAATTCTCCACAGTGGAAAGGAATGTTAGAGATGCAGGGTGAGGACCTGTAAGTAAAACATGCCATTTTCTCAAATCCAAGCCTTTTTGTGTGCAGAAATATTGTAGCTCAAGAAAACGCAAGTATTCCTCCAGGATCTACAATAGAAGGATGGACAATAACAAGTGTTGGCGAGGATGTAGGGAAGCTGGAATCCTCATACACGGTAGGCGGGAATGTAAAATGGTGCAGCTGCTGTGGAAACAGTCTGGTGTTTCCTCAAAGGAACATGAAGTTACCATATTACCCAGCAATTCCACTTCTCAGTAGTAAACATCCAAGAGAATTAGAAGCATATATGCACACTAAAACTTGTACACAAGTGCTCAGAGCAGCAGCATTTATAATAGCCAAAAACTGGGAACAACCCAAATGTCCATCAACTGATGAATGGATAAACAAAATGTGGTATGAAATATCACAATACAATGAATACAGTAAAATACTATTTGGCAATGAAAAGATGATGTCCTGTTACATGCTACAACATTGATGAACCTTACAAACATTTGGCAAAGTGAAAGAATCCAGTCTCCCAAAAACCTACACATCGAATGATTCTGTTTACATGAAATGTTCAGAATAGGCAAATGTGTTTCCAGGTACTGGGGGAGCTGAGAGAATGGGGAGTAATTACTCATGGAGATGGGGTTTCTTTTTTGGGGAAATGAAGATGTTCTGAAATTCGTGGTGATGGCCACAAAATTTAGTGAATATGCCAAAAACCACTGAGCACGCTAAAAGGGTGAATTTTACTGCCTGGGAATTATATCTCAATTTAAAATTTTTTTTGGAACTAACAAAAGAGAAAGACAAGTCCTGCCTTTAGAACCCCCCCTCCTCAATTCAGGGAAAGTATATGTCATGGGCAGGTCTAAGCAGAAAGTGTCCTGAGTCTGCCAGGTTGACTACTGGTTTCATCCAGCTTAGGGTCAGAAGAATCTGGAGCTCTGTGAGGAAGCCACAGAGCTATAGATAGGAAACAGAGGGAATGATCCAGCCAGAAATCCTCTTGCCAAACCACAGAGGGCATCATCAACATTCTGCTGGGATCCATACCAGAGGAGGACAGAAACGGAAGATAAGCTCGGGACTGGAAACTAGAGCCACAGTTATTGCCTGGATGGATCAGTATGTTTGAGATTGATGGCACGTGGCAGCTCCAATTCCAGGAATCTCCAGGCAGCCTCTCCTAGGGTGAGCAATCACCTGCAAATTCCATTTTCACTGAATTAAAGGTGAGAAAGCCTGAGTTGCAGCTGACTTCTGCAATCTACGCCCCATAAGGGCATATCCCTTAAACTATCTGAGCCTCAGTTTCCTTCTTTGTAAAACAAGACCAGCAGTATCCTCTTTACAGGATTATTGTGAAATTAAATGAGATGGGCATAAGTACAGAGCATCCTGCTATTACACCATCAGCACCACCTCCATCATCATCATCGTCGTCATTGTTGTTGCTATTCCCAGGTAGCACGGTTGTAAAACAGCCATTTTCCCATGCAGTCAGTCTTCCATTTGGTTAGAGAACATTTTGTGGGAGAACTGCCTTCCTTGGGTAGTTCAGTCCCAAATCCTCAATGATGCCTTGAAAAAATCCAGGGTTCGCCCTGGTGATCCGGCAGCTGCTGCTGTTGAGGGGGGCCTTCTCAGACTGTGTTCCAGGCTCCCTGCCAGCCTCCCGGGGCAGGTGCCTCCCTCACCTCCCACCTTCTGTCCTCACAGGGCCTCTGACTCACGCCGCCCCGCGTTCCTGCTCCTATGCCACTTGCCCCTGCAGCTCTGCTTGCTGGCGTCGTCTGGGACTGTGCCATAGCCGCATCTTTGACATCCTTCTGCCTCGGGACTGGCAGATGGCGCCAGGGAGAAGACTCCCCAACCTGCTCACCTTCTACAGGTTCCAAGCATGGGGGGCTGGAGCCTCAGGACGCACAGTTCCCAGAGCCAGACTCCGCCCCCAGACCTTATTAGCAATCATGTATCGCTTCCTCTTGGGAATCCGAGGCCAAAGGAAAGCCTTTCCGTCTTTCCTTTGACCACCTCCTGGACATTGGCAGGCAGGGTCCTTTCCGACTGGCCCCACCCCCTGAGGTACCCATCCCACCTGCACAGAGAGGGGCCAATTTTCTTCCTTACTGGAATTCACCTCCTAAGGGCTTCCTTTTTCTTTTCTCCATCCTCAAAACACTCTCCCTCCCAGCCCTCATTGATTCCGAGTCGTTCAGGAGCTTTGTGATTAAACACTGTTTGGCCACGTGCCTCCGTGGCCCCTCAGTGGCCTGTTCCATAGGCAGGGGCCTTCGGTTCCTGATCTGCCTATGAATGTCCCTAGAGTTAAATGATAAAAACCTACTTGTAACTCATATGCCCCCTCCACACAATGGCAAGACCTCAGCCCCCTTCAGAGTGTGCCGGGCTCTTTCTGGGGGTCCCCACAGGGGACGTGTGCCCCCAGGCTGGTCTGTTGGTGGCAGCCCCCACGACATCACCCATAGTATCTGTTCGTCCTTCCTCTTCTCACAAAGCCACCAGGAGCAGTGTGGTGGCTGCCACTGCCCTCATAGGAAGACACCATCCATGTAGGGGACAGACTGAAGGTATTCCCATGTTTGGTGCTGCTAGGTTACACGCATGAGCTGGGAGAGGGGTCTCCATCCCTCCCACCTGAGGGCCTCACAGATCTCAATGGAAGAGGCCCTTCCACTGGGAGACTTCACACCCCTACCCCAGGAGCACAGACCCCTACCCCAGGAGTAGAGACCTCCACCCCTCATCCTCATCCTATTCCTCTTCTAGCCTCTCCCCCACCCAATCCCTTCTCCTTTCTGGAGTTGAAAAACTCCATCTCTCCTACATATAGAAAGAAACAAGTGGATACCCGGGGCTAATAGGGAGAACATGCTTGGAGCCAAAAATACTCTGCCACCCAGCAGCCCCGTCAAGGAAAGGCCTGCCTGCCACCGTTAGCCACGTCCCACCCTCAGGCTTAGAATTTCCATCCATCCATGGCCAAATTGTGCCATGGGTTCGTATCGTTTGAAAACCAACAAGTGTTATTGAGGGAAACTACTATGCAGAGGACATGGGGCACAGTGAGGGAAACAAGAACAGGGAATTTTACCCCTAAAATTGTTCCAGTCTGAATGGAGGGCTAAGACCCATGCATTTAGAAACTATGGTGCAAGATGGAAAGTGCCGCATGTCCTCCAGCAGAGGCTCCACGAGTTTCAGAACAAGAGTGTGCTTGCTTCTGAGCTGGCATTGTAGTGGCAACAGCATGTGAGCCAGGTCCAAAAGGATCTTGAAGCTCTCTCTGGCCTCAGATGAAAAGCGGGAGCAATCTGGGTGCAGGGAAAGGCTAACTCGAGGCTCTGAATCAGGAAAGTGAGTGGGGAGGGGCAGGGTCCCTGTCCGGCCAGCACAAGACATGTCTGTTCCAATTTTAGCACCCGCATGCTTTTCTCAATGGAGTGTGATGTTGGCTCTTGGCTTTCCCACCATATTCACATTAAACAAGAATCCCTGCTTTGGTAGGATTTCTATCAAAATGGTTGTTGCATTTTTTGAATGCCCTCCTCACCATTATTGGTGTAATCGTCTGTTTCCCTTGCCTTTGCATGGATGTAATATATTATTTCCCAAGGTTCCTTCCTCTCAATGGAGTGAAGTGATAGAACCTACCTCATAGGGTTGTGCTGAGGCTTGAAGAAGGCACTGAGTGTGAGGTACTTAGCACAAGGCCTGGCTCACAGTGAACTTGACCACCTTCCTGACCTAGTCCCCCTCTGGGTGTTCAGGGCAGCTGGTATCCGGGCCAGCTCACCCTCCGATCCTCGGGGGTCTTTCGGTAGGGACTTGTTGGAAGGGTGGGAAGAATTAAATGTTCTCTTCGGAGGAATTTGGAGAGGGGGTAGGTGGGTATTCCTGCAAACCTGAGGGGTTTATAGTTTCCACTTTCTCCTGCTGGTAGACACCATGAGGCCCAGCTTCCCACCATCCCCACTTTCTGCTCTGCTCTACAGAGGATCTTCAAGGAAACCCTCCAGTCATCGGAACGCGTGTCCTTCAAGCCCTCAGAACTGTGGCTGTGGCTCTGGGGGCTCTGGGAGCTGCCTACTACATCACTGAATCCTTGTGAACAAGCCCCTAGCCCATGGTCCGGCAGGTATGTGGCACACTCAGTCCCTTCAAGTGGAGGTGGTCTTTTCAGGTGTACCAAGCCCCCGGCCTCTCAAGGGAAGCTTGACAATGGAGTGACTCCTTCCTGGCCTCAGGGTCAGCCAGCATGGCCCTCTAGGGCAGACCTGATGCTCTCAGATGATGCTAGACTCATTATTAGGATTCTCTGAGCAGAGCCCCCACCTCTTCTGCCTTGAGGTGGTTTCCCTGGTCACAGACCCTGGACAGGAGGAAATGGGAGGGGTGGGGGGCAGAGGTTCCTACCCATCTAGAACCTTCCCTCAGAACTTCCTCCCTGCCTTGAAAGCTTGTCTCCTCCCCAGTCCTGCCTCTTTTTCACCTGGAAAGTCCTCTTCTTCCACGAAACCTTTCTCCAACTTCCCAACCCCAGTGATGTCTTCCATCTTCTCAGCCCTGTCCTCTCCACCTGCGCCTCCTGTTGTGGATGATCCTGTTGTATGCCTGTGGCCTGTCTCCCAGCTGTCCTGCAAGATCCCTGAGGGCCAGGGGCAGGGCTCACACGGTCATCTTCCTCACCCCTGGAAGCAGAACCTGAGACTGGGGTTGGATGAACAGGGTTTATTGAGGAGGTGCTTGCAGGGAGTGAGGGAGTAAAGAAGACAAGAGGAGGCAGGGGGAGGAGCTGAGAAGAAGGAATCTGGAATAAGAATTACAACACACACAGAGTTGGTCTCTGCAGAGGCGAGAGGCTTGCCCTCTGCTGCTCCTCCTTTTCTGTGCTTGGCCCTAAGGGTTGGGTAGGGACTGCATGTCTTTGTGGAAAGAGCAGCTCCCTTTGGGCTGAGGGCTCTCCTCTAGAGAAGGGGATGATTGTCTGTTTGCCTTGCCTTTGCAGTGGGTGTAATATATTATTTCCCAAGGTTCCTCTCTCTCAATGGAGTGAAATGAACCTACCTTTTAGGGTTGTTGTGAGGCTTGAAGAAGACATTGAGTGTGAGATGTGAGGGTCTGGGTGGGGCACCAGGAACTTCCACGATGATCCCTTTGCCATGTCCACACTTAGCAAATGCTTAATAAGTGATGATGGGGATGATAGCATAGGGATAATGAGAAGAATTTCACCCCACGTCCAGACATCCACCAGCCCAGGAGTTGTTGGTGATGGGGGCGCCATAAAGCATGGGCCTGGGAGATGTTCAGAATATCTCAAAAGCCAAGCCCAGAAGATAAACTCCAGTAAGAGCTCACCATCCCCTCACACCTTCTGTGATGTCATATCCCATGTCTGTGGCAGGGGACATGGTATTTCCTTAGCTGCCATGCTATTTCCTGAGGTATTTTCTGAGCAGCTGAGAACCTCAGTTTCCTCATCTGTAAATAGGGAAAATTATAGTAACTTCCTCTTGAGCCTGTTGGGAGAGGCGAGATAGGTGTTAGAGGACAGAGCTCACCGCTGGTGGGTCCCGTTGCTGTTGCCAATGTGGAGGCGGTGGGAAGGATGCAAGCTTTGGAGTCAGAGCTGCCGGCTCCTTTCTTGACCCTGATGCCTGATGGCTGAGTGTTAGAGACATTTCTTAATTTCTCTGACACTGTCATGTCTAGTGGGGAGAATGATAACTACCTCCACGGCAAATGGTTTTGAGGATGAATAGAGGGGATGTGCAGAAATGCCAGTGCAGGGCCTGGTGACAGGGGTGGGTGGATGCTGTCCACTGGCAACCTGAAGAATGCACCTGAGTCAAAGCATTTTATCTTCAAAATTCCTTGCAGCAGAGCATACTGGTTGTGAGCTTGAGTTCTGGAGGCACGCAGGATGGGGGTCAGAGGCCTCTAACACCCAGTATTTCTGAGGCCTGGGGCAAGTTCCCTAACTCCCAATGTCTTGTTTTCTTTTTGTTAAATGGAGATAATAACATAGCTCTCATTGGATTGCTGGGGTGATTGAGCAGGAAAAATGTATGTAAAACACTTAACACAGTTCCTGGCACAGGGTAAGCACTCAACATAGCAACAAACCACCACTACCAACTGTCAGCACCATCACCATTATCACCATCATCCTCAACACCATCACCATCCTCATCACCACCACCATCACCATCACCATCATCATCACCACCATCATCCCCATTACCAACATAATCACCGCCATCATCACCATCACCATCATCATCACCACCACCATTGTCATCATCACCATCATCACCATCACCATCATTGCCATCACCAATATCACCATCATTACCACCACCATCACCATCACCATCATCCTGACCACAATCATCACCACTATCATCCCCATTACCATCATTATCACCACCATCACCATCATTGCCATCACCATCATCACCATCACCTTCATCACCATCATCACCACCACTACTACCATTACCATCACCATCACCACCACCAGCACTATCACCATGTCACTATCATCATCATCACCATCACCATCATTGCCATCACCATCATCACCACCACTACTACCATTACCATCACCATCACCACCACCAGCACTATCACCATGTCACTATCATCATCATCACCATCACCATCATTGCCATCACCATCATCACCACCACTACTACCATTACCATCACCATCACCACCACCAGCACTATCACCATGTCACTATCATCATCATCACCATCACCATCATTGCCATCACCATCATCACCACCACTACTACCATTACCATCACCATCACCACCACCAGCACTATCACCATGTCACTATCATCATCATCACCATCACCATCATTGCCATCACCATCATCACCACCACTACTACCATTACCATCACCATCACCACCACCAGCACTATCACCATGTCACTATCATCATCATCACCATCACCATCATTGCCATCACCATCATCACTATCGCCTTCGTCACCATCATCATCACCACCATCACCATTACCATCATCACCACCACCAGCACTATCACCATCATCATCACCATCACCATCATTGTCACCATCACCATCATCATCGCCATTATCTTCATCACCATCATCACTGTTGCCATCATCACCATCATATCACCATCACCATCAATATCACCACCATCACCATTATCATCATCATGACCATCATTACCACCACCACCATCATCATAATCATTATCACCATCGTCACCACCACCATCACCATCATCACCACCACCATCACCACCACCATCATCACCATCATCACCATCATATCACCATCACCATCAATATCACCACCATCACCATTATCATCATCATGACCATCATCACCACCACCACCATCATCATAATCATTATCACCATCATTACCACCACCATCACCACCACCATCATCACCATCATCACCACCACCATCATCACCACCATCATCACCACCACCCACCCCTGTCACCAGGCCCCACACCTGGCAATCCTGCACATCCCCTCAGTTAATCTTCACAACAATTGCCCTTGGAAGTAGTTACCATCATCACCATTATCATCATCATGATCATCATTACCATTTGTTAAATTAGTGTTCTCCAGTTTTACTGACTTTTGGCACCTGTAAAATCACTTATTTTTTTTAATTAGCTTATTTTTTGCCTGGGAATGGTGGCTCAAACCTGTAATTCTAGACCTTTGGGAGGCCCAGGCAGGAGGATCACTTGAATCCATGAGTTTGAGACCAGCCTGGGCAACATAGCAAGACCTTGTCTCAAAAAAAAAAAAAGATGATCAAGAAGAAGAAGAAGAAAAAGATTTAAAAATTAGCCAGGCATGGTGGTACACACCTGTAATCCCAACTATCTGGGAGGCTGAGATGGAAGGATTGCATGAGCTCAGCTGTTGGAGGTTGCAATGAGCCATAATTGCACCACTGCACTGTAGCCTGGGTGACAGAACTCACAAGATCCTATTTCAGGAAAAAAAAATAGCTTACTTTTTAACTAACCAGGGAAGAACTTTAGCCAAAGAAAGCTAACCAGGAACCTGTATGAAATTCATTGTGGCAGAGGGCAATGGGGGTGCATTGTGGGGGTGCATAGTAGGGGTACACTGAGTCATGCTGAGCTTATAGGCTCATCTCTTAACAGGCGGTTTGATGTCCTTCTCTGTCCAGAGTGAAGAGTCATCTGACGACAGTGAGATCTTTCCTCTATGGGGAAAGATGCTTCTAGAATTTTCTTTCCTAAAGTTTGGTGAACCTCTCCTTTGGCATCTTCCTCAGCTGAGGATGAGACCCTAAAACAAAGGACTTCTTTACCACTTGTGTTGGGCACTGAATGTGGTCAAAAAACTGTAGTCTAGCTTTTGGGGAGTGAAACTCCACTGAAGCTGCAGGGGCCCCCAGGGAAGGAGCTGGCACCCATGAGCTGAGCAGGAGCCAAGCGTGGCCGGGTGCCTGGCAAAAGGCATTACAGCCCAAGGCGTGCAGCTAAAAGGAATAGTGGATGCAAGGAATGGAAGAAATTTGCATCCTAAATCATTTACTTCTCCACGGATGTGAAACTGGAAAGCCACCAGGATTCCAGGTCACACGGGGTATTGTCTAAGCTGATAGCTCTGTCTTTGTTTTTCTTACAGATCCAGTTTCCATCAAAGGATCTCTCTTGTCACCAAAATTTAAAAAAAGAAAAAAAAAAAGAATTCTGCTTCTTTAGCGTGTTTTACTTAGAGACATCAGAGTCGGACTTGGCTAAGAAGGGAAGCGTGGGGACCCCAGTAACTTTTCGAGCTGCAGGTCAAGCAGAGTTGGTGCCTGTCATTCCTGTTCTGGCCACAGACCCCAGGTGGAGCAGCTTTCTTTGCACACACTCATAGAACACCATGTTTGCTGTGGATTTTCCCACTCCAAAGGAAGGAATTATAAAGCTTAACTCAATAGCTAACATAGTCAGTCATCTGCACTTCCGTCCTGGGGCAATCCCAGTTAGTGGGAATAGGAATGATGTGCCGGCCTGCCTCCAGGCCTGCACCCCAGAGGACAGAGGCTATGTGCCCAGGAATACTGTCTCTAGAAATGGCTTTAGAGTCACCTGTGATGGCAAGCGGCCTGCCCTGCAGCCTGTGGTTAGTCCTAGTGACTTGGCTACACCCAGCCAATGTCTGTGGGATTTTACATCTAGCTCCTGAGCAGCCAATTTGAAATCTTACTTCAAGGTGATCGCAGCAAACACCACTAGGGGAGAGGAGTGTCAATGAGGGAAGAAGGTGGGGCGTGGTGGCTCATGCCTGTAATCCCAAGGCTTTGGGAGGCCAAGGCAGGAGGATGGCTTAAGCCCAGGAGGCTGGAGTGAGCTATGATCGTGCCGCTGCACTCCAGCCTGGATGACACAGCAAGACACTGTCTCAAAAATAAAAAAAAAAAATAAAAAACACTAGGGAAGGGAGGACAGCCAATACTGGCAAGTCCTAATGCAGTGGCCATTGAGGGCATCCACAAACCCATGCCCAGGTGACCTGCTATACCTCTAAGAATCAGTTAAGTTGGGACCCAGTGGGGCAGCCCTTGGGGAGGCAGGGAGCTGGTTTATCCACAGCAGCACAGGTGGGATTGGGCAGGATGGGCCAGGCTGGAGCCCATTCAGCACCCCCCAGTCCCAGGATTTCCTTTCCAAAACAGGTGGGAGTGGGGAGGGGTCATGTTGTGGTCCTATCCTGCGGGTCACAATGAAGGGACCTATAGACATGGTGGCAGGGACTGGGCACTCTATGGCTGCAGCTTTTGGACAGAAGACACTTCGTTTTTCTGGCATATTGAGGTCCCCTTTGGTAAATATTGGACAACCTAACCCAAAGTAGGCTCCAGCAAAATGAGAATGTATTAGCTCCTATGAAAGTCAAGAGAGAGTTCTGGCTCAGATGCGGCTTGCTCCAGGGGCCTGGGCCATTTCTCTCTCTCTGCAGTAGAGTCAGGTCCATTCTAGCTTCAGCAGCAACAGCCTCCCAGCCTTCAGAGGTCAAGGCTAGCAGAGAAGCTGAGCCGGCCTCTCTGCAGCTAAAGACATCACAGCTCTGACTAGGTCCTATCTCCCTCCTGGGACCCATCACTATGCCCAAGAAATTTCAGGGGTCTGATTGGCCAGGGTGGAGCTGCACAGCCTCGTTTGGAGCATGAGGATTAATTCCATGGAAACAGTGAGTGCTGAACAAGGAAGAAAATGGTTCTCCAACTGCAATGTGGGTAATCTGTTTCCAAAAGAAATGGGAATGGGGCTGGGTGTGGTGGTTCACACCTGTAAGCCCAGCACTTTGGGAGGCCAAGGCAGGCAGATCATGAGGTCAAGAGATCGAGACCATCCTGGCCCACATGGTGAAACCCTGTCTCTACTAAAAATATAAAAATCAGCTGAGTGCAGTGGAGTGCACTTGTAGTCCCAGCTACTTGAGAGGCTGAGGGAGGAGAATTGCTTGAACCCAGGAGGCAGAGGTTGCAGTGAGTTGAGATTGCACCACTGCACTCCAGCCTGGTGACAGAGTGAGACTCTATCTCAAAAAAACAAAAGAAATGGGAATGGACACCGGGCAGCTAAAAACAGCACACACCCACTCAGGTTGGCTATGGGTCTGCAGTCAGGATCGTGCTCACCCTCTGCTTCTCTCCTTTCCCCTCCACCATCACCTCCTCACAAGAATAAATGCTCGAGTGGCCAGCAGAGAGAACTCTCAGCTGCCTCAAGCTGCAGACTTCCAGCAGATCTAGACACTTGGATCCCCCGGGCAGTGGTGACCAGGGGTCAAACTAGCCTCCTGCCCATTGTCACAGTGACTGGGGATGCTGTGGTCTGTTAATAGTGAAAGCCAAGAAGGCAATGCACAAGACAGACCACACAATAAAGGACCATCCCACCCAAAATGCCAACAGCATCCTCTCGGATGATCACTGTCACCTGGGCTCATCTGTGGGTCTATGGATGCTCGGCCACACTGGCCTTGCACTGGGGCTCACATTGCCCATCATGGGCCATAGGGTTCCCTCTTGAAGAGTGAAAAACACACATGTTAAATGACCACATACTGGAGTCCCCATTTTCATGATGCCAGGGGCAGCACATCCCTGGCAGATGTTGACGCATCCACGTCTCTGTGGTTAGGTCGTGGAGGCAGGGACCAGGTTTTTCTCTCAAATCCTTCCCAGCATGTTCCAGACTCTCATGAATGAGTAGACCTGTTGCCATCAGGAGCATTTTGGGATACATAAAGATTTGGCTTAGGCCACTGTATTCAGAGTGGTTTATAAATGTGATCACTGGATAGGACTATTTTAAGTGCAGCCAATTTCAAGCAACAGCCCCTGATAGGTGGGGGGTTTTTTTTGTTTTGTTTTTTTGTTTGTTTGTTTTTGTTTTTTGTTTTGAGATGGAGTTTCAATTTGTCATCAGGCTGGAGTGCAGTGGCACGATCTCAGCTTACTGCAACCTCCACCTCTCAGGTTCAAGCGATTCTCCTGCCTCAGCATCCCAAGTAGCTGTGACTACAAGTGTGCGTCACCATGCCCAGCTAATTTTTGTATTTTTTTTTTTAGTAGAGACAGGGTTTCATCGTGTTGGTCAGGGTGGTCTCGATCTCTTGACCTTGTGATCCACCCACCTCAGCCTCCCGAAGTGCTGAGATTACAGGTGGGAGCCACCACTCCCAGCCAGTACTTTTGAGAGGGAAATTTAGAGCTAGAAGGAAGAGTGACCAGGTTTATTTCCTATTAGTGTGCAGTAGCCAAGGCTGCTGTGGCTCTGAGTTTGGGGACAGTTTGGCTAAGGCCAGGCCTGCAAGTTGTAGGGGCCAAGGTCCTTGGTCCCCTAAAGGTTTGCTGAAAATTCACATGAGGCAGATTAATAGGAGAAAAAGCATATACATCAACGTGTATACATGGGAGTCTTCAGAATGAAGACCCAGAGGTACAGAGGAAATTGTCTTCATGCTTAGTTTCAACAAAGAGGGACAGCCTTTAGGCTGGACAAAAGGACAACAGGACTGGACAAAAGGGTCTCTAATGCTGATTGACTGTGTGGGGACCCAGCAAGGCCTGTCTGAGCAGCATTCCTTCCTCTAGGGTATGGGGCAAGACCTTCTCTGGAATGTGGGTCTTATGACCTACCACAAACAAGGTAGGTCAGATCATTCTGTTATGGCCAGTTCTTACACAAGGCTGGGGAAAAATTCAAGTAATACTTTTAGATTTTCTAACTAGCTTTGGGGAGAAAGGGTTCTGGATTCTATGCCCCACCTTGGGAAAGAATTGCATTTGTATGGCTAGCCTTGGGGGAGATGGGACTGAGAGTTAGGAGGGTGGGGGAAGACAGAGGAAAACTTTCCCTTCTGAGGCCTTCATTTTGGGATTTCATTGTCTAAGCTCCAGCAAAGTCTAGCATCTTCACCAGGCTACGCTCAGACCCTGGCTCTGAACATCGTCTAGAGACCATCAATTGGCTGGATGCAATGGCTCACCTGAATCCCTGCATTTTGAGAAGCCAAGGTGGGCAGATGACTTGAACCCAGGAATTGGAGATCAGCCTGGGAAGCATGGCAAAAACCTGTATTTCGTGTGGGTTTTTTTGTTTTTGTTTTTCTGAGACGGAGTTTCGCTCTTGTTATCCAGGCTGGAGTGCAATGGCGCGATCTCGGCTCACTGCAACCTCCGCCTCCTGGGTTCAAGCAATTTGCCTGCCTCAGCCTCCCAAGTAGCTGGGACTACAGCTGCGCGCCACCATGCCCAGCTAATTTTTGTATTTTTAGTAGAGACGGGGTTTTACCATGTTGACCAGGATGGTATCGATCTGTTGACCTCGTGATCCACCTGCCTCGGCCTCCCAAAGTGCTGGGATTATAGGCGTGAGCCACCACACCTGGCCTTTCGCATGTTTTTCTACCAAAAAAAAAATACAAAAATTAGCCAAGCATAGTGGCGTGCGCCTGTCTGAGGTAGGAGGATCACTTGAGCCTGGGAGGTTAGGGCTGCAGTAAGCTGAGATCATGCCACTGCAATCCAGCCTGGGTGACAAAAGGAGAGCCTGTCTCAAAAAAAAAAAAAAAGCCATCAATCGATTAGTTATTTTTTATTTACTTATTTATTTATTTTCTCAGAGTCTTGCTGTGTTGCCCAGTCTCAGTCTCGGCTCACTGCAATCTACAACTCCCGAGTTCAAGCAATTCTCCTGCCTTAGCCTCCCAAGTAGCTGGGATTATAAGCATGTGCCACCACACTTGGCTAATTTTTGTATTTTTAGTAGAGAGGGTTTCTGGCCATGTTGGCCAGGCTGCTCTCAAACTCCTGACTTCAAATGATCCACCCACCTCAGCCTCCCAAAAGTGCTGAGATTACAGGCGTGAGCCACTGTGCTCAACCCAATTGGTTATTCAGTCAGGTTGGTTTCAGTACAGCGATCCATGCAAGGCCAGCAGCAAGTCCAGGAAGCCCCATCCTCCTGCAGCTGCCTGTCTGGTCCCTCCAGCCCACTGTGCCAGGGACACAGGACCAGGTGAGAGATCCCTGGCTTTTCAGATACAACCTGGTCTCCATCCTCCCACCCCCACTCTTGGAGGACAGCCACCCTCCCACTGGCCATGAAGCTGGGTACCCAGGCTATCGCTCAGTCACAGAGTAAATAAATAACCAGGATCCAGGGAACCAAACTGCCAGATAAAGGCAGCCATGAGACTCAGGGGACACCTGCCGTACAGTCTGTCCTGACAAGGCCCCAAGCTCAGGGCCATGTTGGAGTCAACCAGCCACCAGTGATGCATCAGAGGGAGGACAGCTCTTCAGGCTGCTGGTACAAGCTCTGGCTTCACTGGAGACTCAGGAAGCCCCTCTGTCTCCAGGCAACTCCTCCTCTGCAGGTGCAGGCACCGCATGTACTTATCACACCTCAGCCAGTCACAGGGGTTTGGAGTAGGGATTTGAATTGGAAAAGTGCCCTTGCCAATGTCCCAACATGCATTCCTGACCCAAGCCAGGAGGAGCTGAGCTGTGAGCTAGCGAGTGACGACAGAGGAGCTGGAGGCGCCTCCTTGTTGGGAGTGTGGAGGAAAGGAAGTGCCAATCCCAGCTGCAAGGAGAAAAGTGTCCAAGGCAGAGAGCCATGTTGGTCCCAGCGACAGGGCTGAGCTCAGACTGGGCTCAGACTCCTCCAGGAGGGGCCTGGAGGTTGAGAGTTACAAAAGAAGAGTTCTGTTTAGGTCTTGGGGGGTGACTGATCTCACTTAAGGAGTACATCAAAGAGATGAGTGGACAAGCCCACTTGTTTCCCACTGGGGTCAGGATGAAGGGTCTAGGCTGACCAGCTCCAGGAAGAAGCTGACCCCTCCGGGCTGCGTTCTCCTTTCTCCTCCTCTGTTCTGCCCTTCTGTTGCCTGCCACTGCCAGTGGTCACGCGTGGACCATGTATACCATGTTCTGGGGAATCTGATTACACCCTGGACACTGGTATGTGGATTGTAGTCTGCTGCAGGATTACATTAGAGTTTAGCTGTTTTTCTTCTAATGGGGCTCCATTCTGTGAGGATGGTAGGAAATGCTTTTAATGCACTGATAAATCAACCTCAGGGAGGTATTATGTACAGAAGATTCCCAAGGCTGCAGTTGCTAAAAGAGACTTAGGCTACTGGTGGGGAACTGGGTGAGCCCCCCGAGCTGAACAGAGTTGCTTAAGAGAAGTGGAAGAGAAGCTGCCTAAGACCATGTGGTGTCTGTTTTGTGCCTTTACTGATCGGAGTTTCGTATGTTATTTGGGAACATTGCCCTATGGGAACAAGCAAAAGGATCATTTTGTTCTATGAAATTAGGAATTGATTTGGTGAAAGAAACTTCCAACTCCCTTGCCCATCTCCCTCATCCCACTCATTTGGCAAAACCACAACCCTGGGGCAAATCCAGTTCTCTGCCTCCTGCATACTTGGACTTGTGTGGGTAAACTTTGGGAAGCTCAGCTGTGCAGGCCAGACGCACCTGAAATTCATGACCCTGGGCTCCAAGTGGGCCCTGATGCTGTGAGGGATTGAATCACCTTTTATTCCCTGAGACAGTTCTCTTCTGTTCTCACATCTACCCCTTCTCCTCCCTGTTTCACCAGACCCCCAAGGCTCACCACTGAGTCTCCCCATTTCCCAGCACCCCTCTTCAGTACCCATCCCCTTCACCCGAGGCGATGACTGACTTGATTTCTGTCACGAGAGATGTAGAGACACATATTTTTGCCTGTTCTAGAAACTGACATAAATGGACTCGATCAGTTTGGACGTTTTAACCTGTCTTCTTTCACTCATCGTAATATTTTAAACCTAAATCATAGTCCTATATATGTCAATAGTTTATTCCTCTTTATTTCCGAGAAGTATTTCATTGTGTAAATATGCTGTAGCGTGTTTATCTACTCACTTGTTAATGGACATTCAGATTGGTTCCAGTCTTGGGATTTTTAAATAAAGCTGCTATAAATGTTTATATTTTTCTTCTTGTTGACTAAAGTTTTAATTTCTTTTTTTTTTTTTTTTGAACATAAACTCAACATTTTATTGTCTTCATAAAAGAAAAGAAACAGCCAGCATTCTCTTAGATCTGCAGTTGGGCTCCACGCACTTAAACATTAGCAAATCTTCTTTGTAGTTCTAGCCTTTTTCTGGAAAATCAGCTTAGTGTACCCACCACAGCCATTCTGCTTCCTGTCATAACGCCGCTCTCCCTGGGCACACAGAGAATCCTTGCCCTCCTTGTACTCTGTCGCTTTGTGGGGTTGGTGCTTGCCACTCTTCTTACAGAAAGTCCAGCAGGTTTTGGGAACGTTCACCATGTTTGCGTGAGCGCTATCGGCATGGAAAGAAAGCAGTTTTAATTTCTTTAGGGTGAATACCCAGGAGTGGAATTTCTGGGTCATCAGGTAGGCATATGATTACCTTGTTTAACTTACTAAGAAGGTACCATGCTAATTTTCCAAAGTGGTTTCACCACCTGACCCTCCCACACCAGAGCATGAGAGTGTTGGGTGCTCCACACGGTCTGGCCATTTTAAAAAGTAAATCAGTCATGTTACTTATCTGCAACAAACAACCCTCTAGTAATCTAATGATGGGATATTCGATTATATTAAGGAATTATTGTTAATTTCTAGGTGTGAACAATGACTTTATGGTTATGCTTAAGAGAAGTCTCATATCATTTAGAGTTACATAAGGAGATACTTATAAGTAAAATGATAGGATGCCAGGAAGTAGGAAACGGAAATGCAGATGAGACCAATTGGCCGTGAGTTGATCTCTGCTGAAACTGAGTGACTGATACATGCTGAGCTCATATCTTCTTGTCTGTACTGAAGGGGTTTGGTATGTGCCTCTCTAGGATAAGGATTATTTTAAGCTGAGGGCAATTGAGAAAAAGCAGAGACGGGACAAACTCTCTGCTTTCCCCCATCTATGTGAAAATAGAACATAAATTCCTCTTGTGAAAGTGTCCCCATCCCCTCCCCCAATCCCCTCTTTCCATACTAGGAAGGGGAGAACAGCCTTCGGTCTGGAGACAAGATGGCGCCCAGAGTCTACACCAACAAACCTTACTAGCTACTCATCTATCGTTGGCGCCCCTGCATATTCCCCTTCCCACAATTGGCCACCCCTAGGAGCTCGGTCCTTTGCTTTCATCTTGCCACTTCCAAGTTTTTGTTCTTTGCTAAAAATAAGCCCAAGTTCTAACCACCACTTTGAGTTACCCATCACTAAGTGCTCCCACCTGTATGCCCAATGCCCGGGTTAATAAACTTCTGTTTTTCTCTTGATAATCTGTCTTTTATCAGTCTCATCTACAGGGAACAGCTGACGAACCAAAGGGGGATAAAGGAAAAAGATGTTTTTTCCTCCCTGTTAACCTCTGAATGTTTGTGTCCCCATACATTGAAACCTAATGCTCAGTGTGACAGCATGAGAAGGTTGGGCCTTTGGGAGGTGATTAGGTCACATGAGAGTGGTGCCCTTATGAATGGGATGAGTGCCCTTCTAAAAGGGGCCCCAGAGAGTGTTTTTGCCCCTTCCACCATGCGAGGACTCTGCGAGAAGGCACCATCTGTGAATAGGAGAGCAAGCCCTCATCAGACACCAAACCTGCTGACACCTTGATCTCAAACTTCCCAGCTTCCAGAACTGTGAGCAATAGATTTCTGTTGTTTAGAACCTACCCACTTGATGGTATTCTTATTATAGCAGCCCAAACAGCCAAAGATACTCCCCTACACTACTTTTGTGGATTCTTGAAATTGTCAGTAAGAAAGAGTTGTTCAGGACCTGCCTGAGCAACATAGTGAGACCCATCTGCAAAAAAATGCTAATATTTAGCCAGGCATGGTTGCACATGCCTGTGGTCCCAGCAACTAGGGAGATTGAGACAGGAGGATCGCTTGAGCCCAGGAGGTCAAGGTTGCAGTGTGCTATGATTGCACCACTGCACTCCATCCTAGGCAACAGAGAGAGACCCTGTCTCTAGGACACAAAGGCACAAGAATGACATGATGGACTTCAGGGACTCAGGTAGAAAGGGTGGGAAGGGGGTGAGGGATAAAAGACTACAAATTGGATGTGGTGTATACAACTCAGGTGGGTATACCAAAATCGCACAAATTACTAAAGAGCTTACTCATGTAACTAAACACCTCCTGTTCCCCAATAACCTATGGAAGTTAAAAATTTTTTAAATAAAAAACAGTAAGAAGAATAAAAGGAAAGAAAGAGTTGGTAAAATCCTCCATTGGTTCCCATCTCACTCAGCAAAAGCCACAAGGCTTGGAAGGCCCCTTTTCTCTGCCAGCACCTCCGGTTACCCCCCAACTGACGGTGCTCCACCTATGGAGCACACACCAGGGATTATATTAAGGGATTCTTGTTAATAATATCTAGCTGTGAACAGTTATTTTATGGTGAAGCTTAAGAGAAATCTATCATACCATTTAGAGATACATATGGAGATACTTATAAGTAAAATAATCAGATGCCAGGAAGTGGGAAATGGAACTGCAGATGAGACAAATTGGCCATGAGTTGATCTCCCCTCCTTGCTGTTTCTTGGCCATGCCAAGCACTGTCCTGCATGAGGCCTCCGCACTGGCTGTTCCCTGTGCCTGGCACACTCTTCCCCCAGCAGCCTATGGCTACCTTGCCTTCAACTCTGCTCAAGGGTCATTTTAACAACGAGGCCCACCTTGAGCACCCTGCTTAAGACTGCAAACCCTCACTTATTTTGACCCTCCATAGCATCAAGTACCTTCTAATATATTATAAAATGGGTTTAGTACTTATGGTGATCATTGCCTGTCTCCCTCTGCATACTTGGAAGCTCTATGGGATGGAGAGCTCTTTATTTGGTTTCTCATTAATATTTCACCAGCTCCCACAACAAGTGCCTGGCTATAGAAATAGATTAATAATCATTTGTTTGGATTGAAAGAAAGGAAAGAGGGAGGAAGTAGGGAGAGGAAGAGAGAGGAAGAGTGGGGTATTGTGTAACCCTTTCCTAGGGGAAAGAGACCACATATGAAGGCATGTTTTTAATTCTACTGGTATTTTATTTTGGCTAATTTGCTATTCATTTTATTAACTTGGTTAGTTAATATCAGACATAAAATCAAGGGTAATTACTTTGTTTTAGTATGTTGTTTTCTTTTTGAGGGTCTCTCTCTGTCACCCAGGTTGCAGTGCAGGGACATGACAGTTCACTGAAGGATTATTTCTTGGTCTAGGCTATCGGCTGGTCTTAGAATCAACTCACCTGCAATCGTGTCCAACCTATTGTCAGACATATCCTAACCAGGGTGACTCCACCTTGAATAAAGGCCAGATAAAGCCAAACTGGCTGGGTTCCATTCCAAGGGGCTAGGTACTCTTCATCACAAAATGTTTATAGTTCAAAGAAAGACTTAATGATGCTAATTAAATAGAGACCCAGAACTTCTGAAAATGTCCTGTATTTAAAAAACAAAGAGTCCTTTGAGAATAAGTTTCACTTTAAAGGGAATAATGCCTTCATAAATTCTTGCTGAAATCAATAGTTACATAGGAAAATAATGATGCTAACAGCCTGTCGCAAGCTGATCACAAGCTTTTGTTAATAAAGTCTACTATTCCTATCCTTAATATTTCATGTAAGCAAGTGTTACTTTTAAGTTGGGGAATTCCTCCTGCTGCTTTCTGAGGACGCCCTGTAATAGAGTAGTTTCTAATGAACTGTTTTATTTTAATAGAGTAGTTTCTAATAAGCTGTTTTATTTTAATAGTTTCTAATAAACTGTTTTATTTTAATAGAGTAGTTTCTAATGAACTGTTTTATTTTAATAGAGTAGTTTCTAATGAACTGTTTTATTTTAATAGAGTAGTTTCTAATAAACTGTTTTATTTTAATTGAGTAGTTTCTAATAAACGGTGTTATTTTTTTTTATTGTATTTTAGGTTTTGGGGTACATGTGCAGAACATGCAAGACAGTTGCATAGGTACACACATGAAAGTGTGTTTTTTGCTGCCTCCCCTCCCCTTGACCCACATTTGGCATTTCTCCCCAGGCTATCCCTCCCCAGCTCCCCCGCCACTGTCCCTCCCCTATTTCCCCCAATAGACCCCAGTGTTTAGTACTCTCTTCCCTGTGTCCATGTGTTCTCATTTTTCATCACCCACCTATGAATGAGAATATGCGGTATTTCATTTTCTGTTCTTGTGTCAGTTTGCTGAGAATGATGTTCTCCAGATTCATTCATGTCCCTACAAACGACATGAACTCATTCATTTTTGATTGCTGCATAATATTCCATGGTGTATATGTGCCACATTTTCCCAATCCAGTCTATCATCGATGGGCATTTGGGTTGGTTCCAGGTCTTTGCTATTGTAAACAGTGCTGCAATGAACATTCATGTGCATGTGTCCTTATAGTAGAACGATTTATAGTCCTTTGGATATATACCCAGTAATGGGATTGCTGGGTCAAATGAAATTTCTATTTCTAAGGCCTTGAGGAATCGCCACACTGTCTTCCACAATGGTTGAACTAATTTACACTCCCACCAACAGTGTAAAGGTGTTCCTATTTCTCCACATCCTCTCCAGCATCTGTTTTCTCCAGATTTTTTAATGATCGCCATTCTAACTGGCGTAAGATGGTATCTCAGTGTGGTTTTGATTTGCATCTCTCTAATGACCAGTGATGATGAGCATTTTTTCATATGTTTGTTGGCCTCATGTATGTCTTCTTTTGTAAAGTGTCTGTTCATATCCTTTGCCCATTTTTGAATGGGCTTGTTTGTTTTTTCCTGTAAATCTGTTTGAGTTCTTTGTAAATTCTGGGTAACAGCCCTTTGTCAAATGGGTAAACTGCAAACATTTTTTCCCATTCTGTTGGTTGCCGATTCACTCTAGTGACTGTTTCTTTTGCCGTGCAGAAGCTGTGGGGTTTAATTAGGTCCGATTTGTCTATTTTGGCTTTTGTTGCCAATGCTTTTGGTGTTCTGGTCATGAAGTCCTTGCCTACTCCTATGTCCTGAATGGTTTTGCCTAGATTTTCTTCTAGGGTTTTTATGATGCCAGGTCTTATGTTTAAGTCTTTAATCCATCTGGAGTTAATTTTAGTGTAAGGTGTCAGGAAGGGGTCCAGTTTCTGCTTTCTGCACATGGCTAGCCAGTTTTCCCAACACCATTTATTAAACAGGGAATCCTTTCCCCATTGCTTGTTTTTGTCAGGTTTATCAAATATTGTATGATTATAGATATGTTGTGTTGCCTCCAATGCCTCTGTTTTGTTCCATTGGTCTATATCTCTATTTTGGTACCAGTACCA